CAGTTGTTGTCGGTAGCAATGCCCATTGACAGATTCGCCCAATTTCAGCAGCTCATAGTACACGATTCTTTTCGGGTCCCACCAAACCCAGAGCATTGTCTTCTTTTTGAAGCGATTTGACCGTGCCGTCGATGTTGATGCTTCGCCAGGTGAAAGCCACGATTTTTTGCGTTTGGGATTCTCGAAATATATCCACTTCTCATTGCCAGTAACAATTCGATGCGAAATTCTTTCTTTCATACCGCAAAAGCAAAATTTCGGAAGTGGCTCTTCGATTTTCCATCTGTCTCTCAGTCAACTCATGCGGCACCCATTTTCCTTCCTTTTGAATTTTTCCCATGGCATGTAAACGTTTGGAAATATCTTGGCGAGTCATGTTTAATGCCTTCGCAAGTTGATCTTGTGTTTGCGTATCATCTTCATCCAATAACGCTTGCAGATCGGCGTCTTCAATTGTTTTTGATCTTCCGGAGCGCTTCTTGTCCTTAGTGTCGAAATCGCCACTTCTGAAGCGTTTAAACCAATCTTCACAGGTAGTTTTCGATGGTGCATGTTCGCCGTAGGTCTCCTCAAGCAAACGACATGCTTCAGCTGCATTTTTTTTCAAGTTAAAGCAGAAAAGCAAAGCTTCCCGCAAATGCTGTTTATTTGGCAGAAAACTCGACATCTTCATTGTTAGAAAAAATATTTTTACATTGCGATATGTGTTGGTATTATGACTGGTTATTGTTGACCGATGTCCAAGCTATAAAAGAAACACAACTTTAGACATGTATGTCGACTACATGTGTCGTTAACGCTATCTATATGTGAAACCCGGAAACTTAGTTGCGCACCTAGTATATACAGGGTGTCCCGCGTAAGACGTACGAAAAGAAAAATAAAAGTAGAATACATAAAAGTGAACAAAAATTTTATAGGTCATTTTTCAAACAACCACATAAAATTTCGAGATATTAATTAAAATAGTTGAGCATATCACAGAGCGCGGCGACGCGGCAGGCGGGACATACGGCTTGCCGCGGCCGGCAAAAAAAATGGAAGAACGCACACGTATACGGACGCACACACGGAGTACACTCATTTCAGTATGGCAAACGGTCTACCTCTCTGGTCTATAAGATAGGCCAGTAGTATGGGTATAGCCATGGTACGTCAAAACATTTCCCCTCCACTTGGCCTCATGGCGCCAGACTGTTACCCCTCCACCTGGACGCCTTGGCGTTAGACTTTTCCCCTCCATCTGACCATGGATCCAGGTCAAAACAAATCCCCACCAAAGTGGGTAAGATAATTTTTCTCTATGGGTGTCAGGTGAATTTGACTGAGAATTTTGGGAAGGAGAAATAGAATCCTGAGAATTTTTTCAGAAAGGCTATAAGTTTTCAGAATGTTCTGGAAATCATGGGGGTGATCAACATTTTTTGGAAGAGGAGCACGCGGAGTTCGATGGGAGCGAAGATTCTCCGTATTCCTCGTATTCTCCGTTATACAAGGAACATGGGGAGAAAGAGAGAGATTAGTTTTTTAATTTCATTTTAAAACATAAAGATGCTTGATGAGATTTCAAGCCACGTCTCGATGCCACGAGATATAAAATCCAACTGACAAAGCGGTGACAAGGTTAAAGTTCAGGAGTGAAAGGGGAAGAGTTGTGAGTAGGAACTTGTTGCAGGGGAAAGTATGCGGAAAGTTTATTGGATTTTACATTGGTCAAATATAGTGCATCCCTGTGATTGGTTTTCAAATTTGAGCGCAGAGGATTTAGCCGGTCAGCAACGTAACAACGTTGCAAAAGGATTTAGGTAAAAAAAGGTTGTCGAGTAAAAGTTGCATGCTTCTGACCGGTTCTGATTATCTGCGCGTACCAGTTTTTTCTAGCGAATAGATTCCGAAACGTCTTTCAGATGAAATATGGTCGTTGTTAGTTGCTTAGCTTACCAGCTGCCGTTTCAGCAAACGATAATACAAAAAATATTCTCAGAAAATACCGTTGAGGGATGGAAATAGAGTCTCTTTACTCGAGGTCATAAATTTTTTGTACATTTTTTTTATGGAGATAACTCACTCAAGGATATTGAAAAAATAACGTCAAAGTTTATTTATTTTTTATGTAAGATGATATAACATGAAGGTTTAATGCAAAAATTATATCACGAATATTTAAATATTTTGTCATGTTCAAGATTTGTACTAAGAAGAGATAACGACTCGAGAGAAAACGATAGAGTTTGCCAACTTGTGTGTAAGATTAGATATGAAGAAATACAGAGAATTTTTAACGATGGAAATTCTCAATTTTTATTTGTAAAATCAGGACGTAGCGTTTAATAATTGTACTAACAATTTTATTTAAATGTATAGAAGTTAGCTCATGAAATACAATTTCAAATCTAAAAATTCTATCTAAAAATTTTAAATTGTTTATCTGACGTCGTACATTTTATTCGATGTCGTCGTATTTATCAATAATTGTTTGTTTTACGATATCTTCGTCTATAATACGGTTTGGTGATTTAATTCTATTTTCCCGATTAGAAATCGAGCGCAATTGTTGATTAGATTTGCGATTGAATCTAATTGTTCATATCTCAAGTTTACACATCTCACAACATTTTCGAGGTCTTCGAAAGATATATTCTGCATTATGGTCAGAGTAAAGGTCCTCCGCTTCTTTGCAGGAGATGGTGCAACAGAATTGTTCGCTTCCGCGCTATTTTCCTCTTCTTCTTTCTTCTGACAGTAGCTTAGCATTATTACTCGCGCTCCGTATGCCGTGGTAAAATGGATAAATGCATCGTTGTTGAGAATAGGATTCGGTGTATTCATGATGTTTCCCCGCAGGTAACTGCTGTAGTGCTCCATATTTTCTTGAAATTTCTGCCAAGTATTCCGATTGAAATAGATTCCGGTAGCCGTGCTTCCAGTTAGCTTAATCGTAGGTTCAAAAGTATCATCCTCGTTCATTGCTCGCAGACCCACGTGAATCTTTTTCGTATTGGAATTGTTGAGCGCGTAAGTCGTGAATAAAACCATGTAATTTTCGCTCCTCATTGAACTAGACACTGCGCAGCCTCGTTCCGTCTTCTTATTGTCGGAATTCTTGATATCAGATTTTACGTTAGTATCAGCCATTTCTTTTACGAAAATTTGTCGATTGCAAGATAAAAACATTTACGTATAAAGTGACTATTCGTAGCTAAGAAATGTATACTGGGACGATGGAAACACGAATGAACGAGTTTCGGACAAGCCGAAACGTTGTTCCTTCGAAAATCTTGGAAAATAGTAGGAGAAGCTGCGCGCGCAAGCGAAAACATTTAAATAAATTTCGTAGTTTAATAAAACGTTTTATTTAACAAGTAGAAAGATATAATTCAGAATTTTTCATCGTGAAAAAATGAATAATCCTGGAATGCAGACGTTTGACAAACATCGTCTTCGATTTGTTTAGGACGAAGCTTTAAAAAAAAAAATTTTTTTTCTTATGTATTCAAATCATGAAAAACAGTTTCGGTATATTTGCTCTGCAAGTTCTGTGTCGAGTTACGCCATTCGTTAATGCAAATAGGGAAAATTATTCCCTTTTTAAAGATTTAACAGATATATGAGTCTGAGAATTCCTGTACCGTCTTTGAATTGTTTAAGACAAAATTTCTCAAAAATTTTTTCATGTGTATTTAAAAGCGTAAAAAAAAAACGGGTTAGGAATGTTTGCTTTACGTATGTGATAGATTTTTCAAGAAAATCTGCACTATTTTCGAAATTGCAAGAATGAAGCCTTTGAAGGTATGTCAGACTAGGAAGGAAAATCCTTACATTTCGAATTGTGGATTATCTTCCAAAAAGTATAAATCATGTGTAAATAAATACGCAGAAGGGATTTAGTACGTTTTTGCAAAACTTGTCCTGCCCAAAGGATCTTGTCTCATTTTTTGAAAACTTGGATGTTCAAGTGGCGTGAGAGAGATTTTAGTTAGTATAAAAGCGAACAAAGATCTTTTAGGGTTAGTACAGTTTCGATTTTTCGAAGATACGGATTATTTTCGTCTCGACAACACAATGCGTGAATATGTCGCGATTAAATGTTTTAGTGCGCGAATGTATCGTCGTGGGTTCTCACGCAAACCCAAATATCGTTCGCGAGAAATATTTATCTCGCGTATCGGATAGCGTCGATGCGCACAATTATAATTTATTTTATATGTTTGCGTGTGAGTGTAGCAGCACACTACTCGTGTTGCTACTTAACACCGGAAAGTTTTGTGACGAGCGGCTCACACAAATTGTAAAAGAAATCCTCGTGATCAGACGACGGGAAGGAAGTGGAGGATGTGTGGGAAATGATCGGAGATATCCTCGGGCATACCTGGTAAGTGAGATGTCATAATAATTATATAAATAAACTACAACGAGAATTTGAAATTAACGATTGTTGTTTCCCCTAGTTCGCCCCCTGAAAATTTAACGTTGAGCGAACAACGTCTACCGCTTCTTTCGCTGGGACGTAAGCGCAGCGCGGAAGAAACCGCTTTTTCACCTCAAGCCTCTTCACGTGAGTAGCATTAGGGAAAGAATACTATAGAGTTAAATTGTTTATCGTACGAGTTTCACAATCTGAATTTAATTTTAGGGAGGAATATCGTCAGTGATGACGTCGCGTCTGTCTCCTCATGTGAGAGTGAGATTTTCTCGCCTATGAGAACTGCGGGAGAAGACGTCGATAGCAAGGCTGGTAAGTGTACATATGTACCAGTAAAATATTAATTACATCTTATTAAAACTACTTTTATACTCTAATAATATATAATTTTTTAAACCATTTAAAACGAAATAAACAACGAAACAAACAACGAGGTGGAGATCATTGACGAGATCTTTCCGACGATAACAACGACGATGACGACGACGCTGACGACGACGGCGATGACGTCGACGAAGGCACCGACGAAGCCGACGATGACGACGATCCGTGATTAATTGGGAACATTACCCCAACAATGTCATCGACGATCAATGTCATGCTCCAACGATGTCATGCTCCGAGAACGAGGTAAGAGAACGTTAATTTTTTACATATCACTGCGACTGAATTTAATCTTACGGGCGTAATTGTAGAAATTCCCGGTTAGTCAGCTTTCCGACGGAGAACAACTGGCTGATCCCGACTACTGATCCACGCGCACGTACTCCTGAATGGGAGAATATAATTAGACGCGTATGGGAAGAAGATGAAGACGCCAGAATCGAGCCTGGACAGAGAAATAACGAAATTGAAATTATCGTTTTTTCCGATTCTGACGAATTGAGATACGTAAGTGAAAGGCTCAAATTATCGCCTGAAAGATAAATGCATGCATAAGTCGCGAGAATAATTAAGAAATATTACATATTATATATTTTTCAATATTTTTCAAAATTAATTATACCATTTCTTTTGCTGACAGCTCAATGGGGCGGACCACGTCGGGCACAGTACAATCGCAGGGAAAACGCCAGCAGCAACAGATTCTCATTCTTGGAGGCCGAGTGCGAGGAAGAGGAGCGTGGTGGGCCGAGTCATTGTAGTAATAACGGTGAATATTTGTGTATAAAAATTCAGGGGGAAAACGTGCGACAATTTAAAAATTTTAACGTCTTACGACGGAAGGCGAGCATACAAATTCTACCTCCCACTGAAGATGCCGACATCGCAGTGTATTTAGAGAACGCGTTCCGCGAAATTCACGCGTACGCGGTTAATACCAGCGCGACTAACGATTACGTGGGGTTATCGTTTGCTTCGTCAGATTTAACTCGCGGTCCGGCGGAATTATCATTTCGCACAGTAGGCGACTTATCTTTTGAAGATATTTGGCGCCTCGCAAGTTCGTTGGCACAGAGCGCTGGTGGCCTCGGCATCGCGGAGAGTTTTAATATAACCGTATATAACGTCGAGACACCTTCAGGGCGGGAGAAAAAAGCGAACAAATTAACCCACGAAGATATATCGCGAAACGCTCAATTTTAAATATAATTAACAATGATAATTTTTGCCTTCCTCGTGCCCTCGTCGCAGCCCATGTTTACTGTGAGCGCGGTACTGTGCGCACAGGGGAGCTCCATGATAGGTGGAACCGCGTGAGATATCCGCATTCCTCGTTACAGCGACAATTGGCGCAGGAATTAACGAGGAACGTGGGTATAACTATACCTGAGGAAGGTTGCGGTATTTCCGAAATCGTGCATTTTCAGCGACATCTTTTGGATGAGGGCTGCGCTATAGTAATTTATAATTTCTCTAGTTTCGCTAGCGGAGCCCCTCCGATGTACGACGGGTACACTATGCTCGCCTCCCAGGTACACGAGGCAAAATATAGATTAAATATTTTATATTATGAAAACGGTGAGGAGGGGTAACGGTGGAGACGGGCATACATGGACAGCAGGTCTTAACCCTTTGCGGCATACATTTTTCTTTACACGGAAAACAGCTGAAAATTGTTACCCGTGGGTTTTCGGGGTCGCTGATTACGAATCTGAAGTCAGATTTTGAAAATTCAAAATGGCGGATCCAAGATGGCCGACGGAAATGTGAAAATTTACTTGATCGAGATAAAACTGGGTACTTTATGTATTCTGAATTTTGAATTTATAAGTCTGAGATCAGATTCGTAATCAGCGACCCCGAAAACCCCTGAGTACTCAGTTTCATCAAGATCGGGTAATTTTTCACTTTTAGGTCGGCCATTTTGAATCCGCCATTTTGAATTTTTGCAATCTGAGATCAAATTCGTAATGTACGATTACCTGACTGACATTACCCGCACTGTGTCAAGCGAAACTATGAGTAGAGCAGTCTAGGCTAACTTGGCGTTTTCGGTTTGGGGCAGTTTTCGAATTCGTAACAACTTATCCGTGTTAGGATCTGAGATCAGTTTCACTTATTTTTCACAAACCATAACAAATGAATGACTGATTCTCTTTTGTCTCTTGTTTCATTGCATTTTGCACATTTATATCTTTTTTCTAGTGAACATATTGATAAATGTTCATCGATTTTAACGTTTTATCACGTGTATCTTTTGTGCATAATATTAACATTTTGATTTGTCAATTTCATTGCGATAGTTGAGGACAAGTTCCTGCAACATGGAAACATTATATGAAAATATACCTAGTGATTCTGAATCCATTGATGGATTGTGTGATTCTGAGGATGAAGATGTTGATATTTCTGATGTTGAGACTAGAATAAATCAGGATGTGGAGCTTTCAGAAGAAAGTGACGTTGGAATGGATAGTGTTGATGACAGTTACAATGAATCAAATGAAATTCTTACAGTACGATTAGCAAATTTAGATGGAATTTGGGAAAAAAAATCAAGATCAAAAGATGACACCCCTTTCACTAAAAATTCTGGTCCAAATATTCCGGATTCAGCCAAAACTCCGTTGGATATTTTTTTGTGTTTATTTCCTAATGAACTTATAGAGTTGATTGTTCATCAAACTAATCTTTATAGTGCTCAAATAGAGAAGAAGCCGTTCAATGTTGTTACAAAGGATGAAATATTGAAATTCTTAGGTTTGAACATTTTTATGGGTGTAAAGAAACTGCCATCCTATCGTGATTTTTGGTCAAGAAATGAAATGCTCCATGACACATATGTCTCAAATGTAATGACTGTCATCCGCTTTGGATACTTATTATCTCATTTTCACCTAAACGACAATTCAAATGAACCAAAGAAGGGGCAGCCAGGATTTGATAAGTTATATAAAATCAGACCTTTACTCGATAAACTATCTGAAACTTTCAAAACCTGCTACAAACCAAATCAGTACCAATCAATCGACGAAAGTATGATTCGCTTCAAAGGAAGGAGTTCATTGAAACAATACATGCCGATGAAGCCCATAAAACGTGGCTATAAGGTTTGGGTACGTGCAGATGAAAGTGCTTTTGTGTGCGAGTTTCAGGTTTACGTAGGAAAATCAGATAATAATCAGTCGGAGAAGTCATTAGGATCAAGGGTGGTGAAAGATCTAACTCGAACAATTGTCGGAGATAATCACCGAGTATTCTTCGATAATTTTTTTACCAGTACTGAACTTATGATTTCCTTGAAGACTGAAAATATTATGGCATGTGGAACTGTAAGGAGCAACAGAGTCGGTTTACCCAAGACACAAAAGAAAGATAAGGATATGGTAAAAGGTGAGCATGAATTTCGTAGTTCGTACAAGGGTCTTGCGTGGCTAAAATGAAAAGACAATCGAGTAGTGTCACTTCTATCGAATGATCCTTCAGTTACGATAGATGTCAATCGACGAATGAAAGATGGTTCGACAAAAATTATAAGCTGTCCTGAAATGGTAAAGGAATATAATAAGCACATGGGCTATGTCGATAAGGCGGATATGTTGAAATCCTTATACGAAGTTGATAGAAAGTCAAAGAAATGGTGGCTGCGAATAGTTTGGCACTTTCTTGATGTTTGCGTGACAAACGCTTTTATCATTTACAAACAAAGTAGCAGTGCAAACAATCTATCGCTAAAAAAATTGAGACTTGCGCTCGTAGATGGATTGATTGGTGGAAGTGTTCCTACGAAAAAAGGCAGGAAACGTTCTTCCGTTGACTGTGCTCAGACATGTAAGCCACAGGTGTCCCTCCAAAAGAGACATGCTTCTGCGGCTCACATGCCTCAAATGATCGAGGAGAAGAAATCGAGACGTTGCACTCATTGCTCAACTAAAATCAATCCAAGAGTCACAAAATGGAAATGTAGCACCTGCAATGTACCTTTGTGTCTCTTACTCGATCGCAATTGTTTCGCAGAATACCACGCTTGAGAAGGTTACGAAGTAGGATGTATTTATTTCAATTACCTAATTTGTAATCTATTTATTATAAAAAAGAAAAAAATTAAAAAAAATTATAAAATTATAAAAACCAAAAAAAGTATCAATTAATAAAAAACAAAAAAAAATAAAAAAAAGTGGAGCTAAACTCTCGCTACGTCCTCGTCGTTAGCTCTGGATAACGCTAAAGCGGGAAAAAACATCATACAAAACAATCCCTGTGGTACAGTTTTTGAAATATTCCATGTTCAATTTATTTAGTGACCTCAAAAACCCATCAGATCCACGATTCATCAGAATTCAATAAATTTTGCAATTTTCAGGTGCCATCTTGGATCCGCCATTTTGAATTTTTAAAAACTGACACCGGATTCGTAATCAGCGACCCCAAAAACTCTCTAGATATCATCTTCAGATTATTTTATACTGTTAATTACTCAGAATTACATTTATTTAAAAAAAAATCGTTATTTTTAAATTAATTTATTTATAACGTTCAATTAATTAACAATAACATTTGTTTTCTTTTTTATTTCTATGAAGGGATGTTCTCTAATACATTTTATATGCTTTTTGTCATTAAAACTAATTAAATAGTGTTTCAAAAATGTAAAAAAGTGTACAGAAAAAGGTGTCACTCAGGAGTGACACTATGCCGCAAAGGGTTAACGGATAGCAATCTTTGACTTTGAGAGACTGACAACTGTACCATTTGGTACAGTAACATTGTTTCTCTGTAGTCGCCGTGCGCTCGGGATCGCGTCAGAGATGTCGCTTCCGAACGGCATCTCTGAGCGTTATCTAGGGAGAAGAGAATGTCGTGAGCGTCAGGTAGCTCAGTGGTTTAGAGCAGTCGTCCGGCAAGCGAAAGACCCGGGTTCGAGTCCCGGCCTAGCAAGAACGCGCTCTCGATATTTTTCTCTCTCTGGAACGAAAATACGCAGATCTCGAACGCATGGCGTCCCGCCGCCACCTAATACGCCCTCCTCCTTCTATTGTCGCGTCATTTTAATCTGATTTTAAATTTTAAAGCAGCCGCGGATAGTGGATATTACCGCGTCGCTTGTAACAAGGGCTACCGTCGCGAAACAAATCATCGGTACTCAAACGCGTGTCCGTGTTGCTTTCGTGTACCGGCGTGTGATTCCGCGTGCGACGCGAATGTTAGATGCGGAACGTGCAATCGTGTCTTTTACGGTCAAGAGTGTCTCGAGCGTTATCGTATGCCGAAATCGTACGACGGGAAGACACCTTCCATTGTGTGCAACATGATACGATTTTGTCAGGATTGTGGTCGTCTCATTAAAAGTAAATGTGACCACAGATGTGGCGAGTTTATTTGCAAGCTGTGTCGTTCCTGGAAGCTCGCGAATCATTTTTGTTATATACGCCCGCTTCGTGATAACACTGAATCGAGCGCGGTAACAAATTTGAAGGACAGGAGGAACGTTCCTTCCTCGGTATCGTCGGAAAAGACGGACTCAGCCGACGAGGTTTCGGGGAACCGGCGAAAAGGTCGCGTAGCGTTTGTATTTTATGATTTTGAGACGCGGCAAAACGATACGTTCGAAGGTACGGAGAGCATGAAAATGTACGTACCGACTCTCTGCATCATTCAATAAATTTGTGAGGAGTGCAAGGAGGAAGATGACATGTCGTCGTTATGTCGTCGTTATGTTCTCGCGGTATGCGAGAATTTATATTTCGCAACGATCCCGTGAAACAATTTGTCGATTTCGCGACGCGTATGACAAAGAGTTTCTCGCAGATCGTATCGCAGTATCGCGCATAACGCGAGTGCGTTCGACAATTTATCTTGCGTTACCTGGTCGAGAGCGGAAATACTAAAACGGAACCAAAGATAATTTTAAACGGTACAAAAATAATATTTACTTTCTGTCGGACAAACCAAATTTATCGATAGCATTAATTATATGCTCATGCGCTTGTCGTTGTTGTCAAAAGCTTTCGGGCTGAAGGACACAGCGGACAAAGGAACATTTCCTCACTTATTTAACACAGTAAAGAATCAGTTTTATATCGGTGTGTTACCCGATACAAAATATTATTCTCCCGATACAATGAAATTGGACGAGCGCGTGGTACGCGGAGATACGACGGGAAAACGCCATACTCGATTTTCAACGCGAAATAGTAATTTATTGCCGTAACGACGTGAATATTCTTCGACGAACATGCACGGCTTTTAGAAAAATTTTTTGGATCGCGTAATGTGTGTCCGTTTAAGGAATGCACAGCTATTGCTTCCACTTGTATGTTTTCCGTAAAAACTTTTTGCGCGAGAAAGAAATCGGTATTATACCTTCGGGTAGATATATGTTTGCCAATAGATAATGGTGCAAAGTCATACAATGGATGTCGTGGATGGAGCGCGAGCTTGGTCATCTTATAATCCACGCGGGGAGAGGCCGGGAATACTGGTTGATTGAAGGCATACTCGTCGACGGATATTACGAGACGTCGAATCCGTCGCAACGCCACGTACAATTTCACGGATGTTTTTAGCATTGGTCCTCTTTGTTTTCATACAAATCGCGATAGGGTGCTCTCGACCACGTATCATGAGAATACTTTAGATTCGCGTTACGAACGAACGCTCGCGACGACATGGCGTCTTCGAAAAAGGGGGTACATGGTGACGAAAAAGTGGAAATGTGTTTTCGATCGTGAAGTACGCGAAAATTAGATGTGTGAATTTTTTTTAAAAACAATGGTAGCTTATCGAAAACTACAGCGCTAGATTCCCGCGACGCTTTCTATGGAGGTTGTATGAGAAATATCATGACCCAATACGAAGTTACAGGTATGGAGAAAATACGTTACGTTGACGTATGTTCTCTCTATCCGTACGTGTTAAAAACGGGTGTTTTCCGCTAGGGCATTCCGATGTTTACGTCGGAGATGAATATTTCAGCATGATTGGAAGAGTGCCCGACTTTAACTTCAATTCTGTAAAAGGTCTCGTGCGATGTAAGGTACTCCCTCCGCGTGATCTTTTTCATCCGGTACTCCCTTTTCGCGCACGGAAAACTATTATGTGCATTCAGTCGCAGTTGCGACAGAGCTACGAAACATTTTCTTAAGCCGCGTATATGCACAATGACCTTGTCGATCGAGAATTTGAGGGTATTGTACGAACTACGCAAGGCTATTGAGAAAGGTTATCGCGTTACGGAAATGATCGAAATATGGAGTTATAACATCACGCTATACAACTCGGCCAGGCGACAGGGAGAATTATTTGCGGAGGATTATTTGCTTATAAACTATTTCCTTCAGTTGAAACAGGAGGTCAACGGATGGCGGAGCGAATACAGGGATGACGAAGACGCAAAAGAACGATATCTGCGAGAATATGTAGAAATCGAAGATATCGTTCTTGATAGACACAACATCTCTCCGAATCCCGGTCAGCGCTCGGTCGCGAAACTGTGTCTCAATTCGTTCTGAAGTAAGTTTGGTCAGCGAACTAACCTCCCAAATACCGAAATTGTCAGAACATTCGAGAGCTTTATGTTTCTGTTCACGAGTCCGGAATACGATATTATAAGTATATTACCCGTAAACGACGAGATAATATACGTTTCGTGGCGGCTACAGGAGGAAGCGGTTGTGCCTTCTCCTTTAACAAACGTAGTAATTGTAGCCTATACCACAGCTCAAGTCCGGTTAAAATTATATTCTTATTTAGAAAAATTAGATCGGCGTGTTTTATATTATGATATCGACTCGTGTATTTATTTGAGCAGTAGTGTTCCCGATGAATACGAGACGCATACGAGTAACATTTTGGGCGTCATAACGAACGAACTTGAAAATTACGGACGCGGTAGCTATACCGAGGCGTTCGTATCTGGCGGGCCAAAATTTTACGCATACGTCGTTCGTAACGCGGAGGGACGTACGCAGGAAATATGCAAAGTAAAGGGGATAACCCTACATTTTGAAAACTCGCGGCTGCTTAATTTTAATTCTATAAAATCATTATTATTAGCCAGAGAAAAACAAACGATAAAGGAAGAGACAGATGAAAAAGAAAAACAAACCGCGATAAAATTACGGTTTAAAACGATTCGGCATACAGCATTCCATGATATTGTCACGAGAGACGAGATAAAATCCTGTATTGCTCCGATATTGCTAAAACGTAGATTTAACGATAACGGTTACTCCGTACCGTATGGTTACTTCGCGAACGCGGAGTGATATTTTGTGTCCTTTTTCCCTCCTCGCCGTGAAGACCTGCAATATTTTTATTTCTTGTGCGCGAAAAATAGCATATATTTTAGTGTACTTTTAAAATATAAGAAAAAATATATAAAAGTTTTCCCTCTAAGAAATTTGCATATCAAATAAGGAATTGTAAATATACTGAAAAGTGTAAATATACATGATGATCTATATTTTATTCCCTACGGACAATAGAACTAATGTATACTAAATATAAGAAAAAATGTACATAAAATATATTCCCATGTTTTTCTCTCATAAAAGAAATATATATTCTCGGTGTGAATTTTGTATACTGTTCAATGAATAAGAATTTGACAAGTACATCAGATTTGTACAATAAATGAAAAATTTGAAACTATATATAATGGCGTACTTCTAATTTTTCACCCATTTCTCGCTTCAGACACTGCAAAAAGGAAAAAAATTTTATAAAACTGCTAAAATATCTGCGTTTTAATACGACAAGCTAGACATCTGCGCGCACGCACGCAGGGTTAAAGCCGGAAGAGGAATACGAGCTGTATCTTTCCCCCTAGCGCTAAATAAACTTCCGTTGTCGCCCCGCGAAGAAGCTAGTTCACCCGCGCTGCGTGAGTCAGCTTATTTGAGGCGTTCGAGCGAGCTCATCCGAGAGCATGCGTCGCGTCGCGCGGAAAGCTCTTCATCCGCGACGCTCCTCCGCGAATAGTCGCTCCCACAAGCGCAGCGGTCGCCGCGGTGGAGGCCCTACCGGAGAG